ATCTTTAGGATCTTGAAGTTACTAGCGAAAAATATATAAAATAAAAACTTAGCAAAAACCTTGCCCATTTTGCCCATCTTTTTTTTCCGATACAATAGAAGTTTGCCCATTGGACTAAAAATCCTGGTTACGCCGCTGGTATGTCTCTATCTGAATGTTACAGACCTATTAGAAAAAATAGAAGGTAAATAGAAATGCGTGTGAAAAGTCAAGTGTTATGTGTGTGTATGTTTATCTTTAATGTTACTATACACCAGCAATTTTTTTCTTCATGAACAGATAAAAGGATGTCATGGGTTTTTCCTCTTTCCTTTTTGTACTGTTTTTATATTTACTTTTAACGTATTCCTTTTTCTACTTTCCTTCTTACTAGATAAAGCTTATAATAAGTGAAAGTGTTTTGATTCTATTATTTACTTTATATAAACGTGACTCGCCGAAAATTTGCTGTCTTTTTTGCTAAGTTTTTATTTTTTAACGAAACATAGTGAAATATTATCATCTTGCATAGTAATCTTTAGGATCTTGAAGTTACTAGCGAAAAATATATAAAATAAAAACTATTCTGGGATCATTATCCTCTGTAAGATGATATTTGTTACACTTATTCATAGTTTATTCTTCTGTTTTTAAATCTTCATTAATTCGGCGTAGATACATTCTACTGAATCTCAGAATTACAGTTGACGACATTGTTTTATGTTTATTACTTTTAGATCCTTGAACGTGAACGTGATACAGTAACCGAATGGCATCAACCATTTCATTACAATCAGGTACAGGCGGTAATGATGGTTATTGTAATGATTATAAAATAAATTTAAAATTAGATGCAAAAGTGTTACTAGTTACGGCTGAACATCGTTTAACAAAACAACTTCATAATAATGAATTTGGCGATGAAGTTTGTGGAGAAATGACTGGTGGTCTATGTACAACGAAAGATCAATTGTACGAACTATTACAAGATTTATTAGCTAATAAATGTGAAATAAAAGAAGATAAAGTTAGACAAACATTAGTCGCCGAAATTAGAGAAAATAATAAGCTTCAATTGCGTATGAATGTTGTTATATCATTCGGAAAAACTGAGTCACGTAAATGGGATGTTAGTATTCCACTCAACAAAGTTCAATTCAATGATATTGAACGACTTGAAAGAATAATCAAGGATTTATGTCATCGAATAGAAGATTTAGAATATCGTGTTGTACCATCTAGTCAAGCAAAAATTTTAAAAAATTTTAAATTTCAAACACCTATTGCTGGTACGTTCACATTATCAGGTAATAATGAAACATGTACATTACCATCACAAGCTCATAGAGAAATAAGTGTAGACCAACCGTTTAACGATGTACATGATCGTTTTCAGAAAATTTCATTTTTATTTAATACCGCATTGGCCGGTAATGAATATATTGGTATAATGCAAGGTTCATCAACAAATGGACAATCAGCTGCTTCAATGCAAACGGATAACGCATGGTTTTTGCGTGCTTATAATGGTACTATATTTTCAAAACAATTACAATATAAGGCATATACACCCTACATTCCCGCAAAACAAGGTTCAATCGTAAGCATTATATTAGATACAGAAAATATGTATTTAGCATTTGCTGTGGATAATGAATGTGACCGATGGGCATTTCGACTACCAAAAACGGTAAAGCCAAGTGAACTATATGCATTAGTTATTTTATATTCTGCGACTGATACCGTGACCATTATACAGAATGAATAATCTGTTCACATGGTTAACTTTCTTAAAGAATCATATTAGCTGTGGACCACGGTATTCTAATTCTTCCAAAATTTCAACTGTTTTCTTCGTCACTTGTGGGCGTTGTGCTTCTTTTTCTTTGAAATGACGCACTTCACTCGACAGGATGTCCCAAAAGTCACTATCAGATAAAACATTTGCATAACACTACCAGTTTTCAACCGAAAATTATTTTTTTTTGTAAAAATACAAACAGTTCAAAGAAAAGATTCTCGGTTTCCAACCGGATTGTCATATAACCTTGATAAAAAAAACTGAATTTTTTTAATCGCCGAATCATGTACACAATACTGAATGGTATATCTTCTGAAGTTGCGAGGTAGATCAAATCAATTCTGACAAAGATATGACTTTTTTAATGTTAGATGGAAATAGTCTAAGATAGGTTATTTCATACAAAATCAACTTTAAGTAGACTTTTGTACTTTTTAGGAGAAATAGATATTGCCACAAGATTTAGCGGGGTCGATAATCTATGTTCTCTTGACTTTAGTCTAGGGTCTTACAAAATAGTTGTCTGTGTGTTTGTGCGCAAAATACGGAAAAATGGCTGTCAGATATTCTATGGATAAGCGAATCACAGGATACAAAAGTAAAAAATTATTTTTTAGATAAGAGAGAACATATTCAAAGAGATCATCTGAAATATCCACTACTGTAGAGAGGTAAACAGCTAAGCAAACGTTTTCTGTAGACCGTGGGTAGATGTCGCCAGATAGCAGTCAACTGTGACAATACAAAAAAAGTGGTATACGGGTAATAAAAATTACAGTGTATAGACAATCTGTTATAACAAATCGATTAGAAATACTTTCAACCTCTTTTGGATCTGCAGAGGGTGTACAGAAAACCTTTTAGCTTTATGTTACATTAGATGGTTTTCCCGTGGAATCAGAGAAGTTCAAAGCATTTCTCATCTATATTAGTTGGGAATGCCGACAGAAGGGAAGCATGAGGATTGTTTTAAATTCAGCAATAGTTTTAGGCCTCTGGAGATTTTTGCTCCTTATATTCATATTAGATTCCGAACCCTACACATGAAAACAGAAAAAGTCCAGAAGCTGTCTTAGGCAAGCCTCCAGCGAGCGCCGACCGAAGGGAGATGTGAGCATTGTTTTCAATTCAGAAATATGTTTCGACCTCTACAGATTTTTGATTTATACCAGATTACGAACCTTATACATAAAAAAAGAAAAAAAATCTAGAAGATGAGCCCCAGCGATCGCCGACCGAAGGGAGGAGTGAGCATTGTGTTCAATTTATAAGTCACCAAAGGGCGTTCGCTTACGCAGATCCAGCTTAATAAAGTCAAGGGACTGTGCGAGTGGAGACGAGCGTTACCTTGTGGTACATAACTCTGGTTCATATATCCATTTTATTCAGTTTTTCATTGGCTATTTTTCTATTTCAAACACAAGTTGGATACTCTTTTGCATATGGAGAAAAGAGTACTTAAAACATCTCTGATATCATCTTTTAGATGCAATTTCGTCTCTTGTAGAAATTATAAGTGACTCGGTCAATGATGGTTAAAGGTTCTTTATATAGAATATTGTAGAGTAGATCAAGGCCTATGTTTCTATACCAACTACAAGTTGCATCCTCATTTGCATATGGAGAAAAAGTACTTAAAACATCTATGATCTTTTAGGTCAATTTGTCTCTTGTAAAAATAATTTCTTCCTATTGAAATGACGTATAAGGATTGTTCATAGAGTACTTTATTCAGTTTTTCACTGGCTATTTTTTGTATATCAAGGTTTGTGTGAAACGTATGCTGGATTTTTCAAAAATATTATTTTTTCTAAAAACGACGTGCTCTGATGGAATCTCAAAATAATCAACGTTAAAAATGTATTTTGAGCTTATTTTCCATAAGAGCAGCTGGGCAATGTATGCAAATGTCTTTTCGACAAAAGTTCAGCCCAAGTAGGGCAAAAAACTGAGGGTCCGTTTTCTGTTGAAGTACGCCCTCCTCCTTTATCACTAGACATAAAACAAAGCAAGTCCGACCCTTTCAAGTTTCATCGTTCTTGAAAAGATTAAGAACAGGCAGCGGAAACGTCCTTGCCATACACTTGGATACGCTGTACACAAACATCTACCTTTTTAATACTTTTACTTTAATAGGAGGAAAAAGCCGACATTAAAAAACGAATATAAATTGTGCAGCAAGAGAAGTGAAATATATTCAACATTCAAACATTCTTTGTTAATTATACAATCAAGTAAAAAATTAACAAAATTTTCGTATTTGTTTCATCGATTACTAATCGCCCCAAGAATATATTAATATATTCTTGGGGCTAAATATGTTGGATCAAAATATCAACTCGAATATCATTTACTTTTAACTGTACTTTTTATGAGCTCAGTGTTTTAGACGAATTGTAACAGGCTTAAGTTCCAATCTTCCGGTCAAAGCTAAAATAATTTTAGTCTGGTGCCATCCCTTTAGCATCAATAATATATTAATATATCCTTCGGGCGATTAGTAATCGAGGAAGCAAACTTTGTTACTTACTTTTTGAAAATTTTCGTGTGATTTAGGGATGCACCGATTAATAATCGATGTTGAGGCATTCAGGAAATCGCTTCGACTTGGTTATAGTAAATCTCTCAGAACTGCAGAATATCTCATTTTGTAGAGAAGGGTTGACTCTACAAAGTGTCAAAAAGGGTTTAATGTTATATATAGAAAAAATATGATTAATTAAAAACGCACAAAAGTCGCAAAAAAATTTCTTTCAGGCTTTGGTATCCTTCGATTTATCTCTTGGAAAATGTACAAAAGATTCCGCTCAATGACGAGCTTTACACCAACAACTCCTCTGCAATTGCTATCCGCATAACAAAGTTCAAGTCAGTACTGAAGTATCAGTAATCACAGATCGCTTTGTCCTTTATCAAACTTATCCGACGTTCCACTATTAACTTTTATTGTCGCCGTTGTAGCTTGATAGCGGATTTTTATCACTTGTACTATTTTGACTGAAAGATGCATGACAGATTCGTCATAGCACCGCACGATTAACAACGCCGGACGCTTGCTTCAAATCGATGAAGCACATGAGTAGAGGTTGATCGGATTTTCTTATTCGTTCTACCGTTTTCACGATAGAAAAACGAATCGACCGACGTGTATTTCGAAATGTTTAGTTCATTTTCATTCTTTGTTGAAAAGCTTGATGATTTTTTAGCGTGGAACTTGGAAAAAACTTCAGGTTCTTATTTAGAACAAATTGACTTTCTCATCAACGAAACAAAATTTTAAAAGAAGTGATTTACACTTTTTTGTCCGTGTAAAGACGGATCGAATGTAGTGTAAACCTGGGCTGTGTCCCTTAACAGAAAAAACCTGATACGTTTGCAAAATTTGTTGACGCCCTTTAAGGTATGCTTGATTATGAATTTTTTTAATGGCCATACGATATTGGATCAAGCTTTAAATAATATTTGCAGAGTATGAATAAGACGAAAATAAAATAGTGCTCAAATTTAGAATTACGCGCGCCTTATTGCATCGCATTCGTCCACCTCATTGATAATTTTTAAAACTCCGAGCGACTACCTGTCAATAAATAAGGCATTATATTGGCAGGTGCTGTCCCTCGGTAATAGTATTACAGTTATTAGTATCCCCGCCTGTCGTCATTCAATTCTCTGCTGCCAACGAATTTTTGCTCAGAAAAACTTACTAATTGCATATCATTCGATGCAGTTTCTTGCGCTGATTCTGAATATGTCATTTTTATTGAATAAAAACACTTCTGGTCGAGTAAAATGGAAAATACCTTCAAAAACTAGTCGTTTTTGGAAAACCTACAACTCAGGACAGAAAACTTTTCACCACTTTTCGTTAACTGTGTGCACGCGCCCTATATAGCTCAACATTTCCTGAAAGTTTCATCTGTATTCGAGTTTCGGTTTTCTTCGCGCATGTACTTTACTGGATGCACCTCTTTGGAAACTCGCTAATAAAATGTACAATAACTCTGTTCCATCTTAAAAACTCCTAAACTAGAAATATTTTTAGCAATCGACAGAGGACTTGACAAAGATCAAGAATATATATTTGTTTGTTTGACCGCTTACCTTACTTTTACGTTTAATTCAGTTTTCCGATAGTGCCTCTTTTTTTAGCGTAATTTTTGTGTATATGATTTTTTCAACATAAGTATGCCCTAAGAAAAAATTTTTTCGTCATTGAATTATGCGTGGTCCAAAGTATATAAATCACTATTTGAATCACCGAAAAACGTACTTTCAATTTTGCATCAAAAGTCCGCCTGGATGCACACTGTGAAACTGTCCGTGCTCAAGTTTCTCCGTGCTCATCTTTCATCCACCCGTACCTGATAGAGAAATCAGCATCTCTTAAAAACAAAATTTAACGTCCCGGCTATAGCGGTGGTTATTTGCAATAAAAGTCAGAGATCAACCGGCTATGCGTTGGTAGATTTGACGATAAAACAAAATTTGTATATTAAAAATAATCTTTCTCAAAAATAATTAACACAAGAAAGCAGATACCTGAGCTATTACAGTTCATGTTTCGCAACACTTTTTGTCAATGTACCAACGTTAGAATTAACCATTAGATGATAGAAAAAATTCATGGATCTCTCGACATTGCTAATCGTTATTCTTTCATTAATACCATGGAAACGACTCAAATCTGAAAGTTTAAGATAAGTAGGCGAGAAACGGTAGAGATGTTTTGACAAATTTGTGTATGATTTACTATCCGTTCCGCCAAGAGTGAGCCCTGGTACTACAGCGACTGTTCCGTTAAATGTTTGTCGTATGGTATGTTTGAGTATCATGTACGGCCAGATATGGTTACCGTATGGAGATATTGGACTCGGTTCAACGCAAAATTTGGTTCTGTCTTTTACTCGATCGTCATGAATTATCTGTTTGTTTTGGACAAGTATTGTTTCACATGTATCTCCGGGATGAATTCGATGATTGACAGTAGATTGAGCCGAAGGAGGTAAAACATTATCTTTCACTCCACCCGATATCATTGTTACTGCAGTTGTTGAACGCTGCAGTGCGTCTGTTGCCGGCCTCATGGACAAAAACTTTTGCATTAAACTACCAAATATCCACAAATTACTCAATACTAAACGAACTGGAAATGCTGTGTAAGGAGCAATACTTTGTAACAGATCCCATTCTGGGCCACGTCCAAACTGGGACGGATGTAAGTTTGCTTCTAATTTCACCATGGCATTTGACAAGATTCCAATACTTGTTGGAGCTGAGGGCATTGAAGAATGGCCTCCCGTGATTTCAACACGATACTCGACTGTTAAATAGCCCTTCTCACCGATAGCAATTATCGCCACTGGATATTGAACGGTAGAAAACCCGTCTTCTAACATCATGGATCCTTCATCTAGTATATACTCAAAATCACCATTACCGAATTTAACTTTAGACAAATAATCAGCAATACCGGTGGATCCATCCATATGAATCTAGAGAACGAGTGCGATCTTATGTTTCAGTTGTTGTAATGGACCATTACTTTTTACCTCCTCGTCGTGCGTTAGAGCAATATAGAATGACCTTCGAGGCTGTCCATTCTTCTCGATGTATTCCTGGAAAAAAGAGAAAATTCTTGTTGACAAAAGCTTAACCTTCTATAATCTAATTTCCAGAGTCGCAACATCTTTACAAGAAAGAAACTTCAGAATATATTGCCAGACTACAACTGCGAATTGTATGCAGATCCAGTTTCGATAGTAGCCACCATTTCATCCCGAAGGCCGTGTGAAGCGGTTTCAATTGTATATATATATATCTATACATCTTTGTTATCGTTCTGTTGTTTTCATGGATTCTTCTAGGCGTATATTTCAATGAACTTTTGTAGATCATTAGCATCCTAGCGTATCGCCACAATAGTCATAGTGAGTCAAAAAGCTTCGTATCCTTCAGAGTCCGACCAGAGCCGAGTATGATCTCACAAATATTATCCCAAATCGAATCGAATCAGGTTTCCTGATTCGTTTTGGGCGCTGGTATCCCTCGATTTATCGTTTGCAAAATGCACAAAAGATTCCGTTCATTGCTAACCTTTGCAACAACAACTTCAGCCTCTATCATTATTATTCGCATAACATATATGTCATATGTCTGTATGGCCCTGTAGCACATACGATATGCAGGATGAGTGTAAATTTCCCATAATCTTTGAACGACTTTATGAAAGAGTTGTTACGCAAATGCTCATTTATAACTTTCAGTACCTGTAAGGCTTCCATCACAGCAAATACTGTCGTTTTATCATCGAGAGTGCCACGAGCGTAAATATATTCACCATCGACAACCGCATCGAACGGATCATGTTTCCAAGACCCATTAGTCGCTGGTACAACATCATAATGAGCTGATAACAGATATGGTTTTAGGTCTGGTTCGGATCCTTTTATCGTATACAAGATCGAGTATGTTGCAATGTCGTGCACTTCAATCCATTTATTTTGTAAAATATTTGAATAACGTTGTTTGATAAATGTACGGCATTGTTTTATTGCTTCGTAATTTTGATTTCGAATATCTATCGACACTGTTTCATATTTTAATAATGTTTGAAATACATTTAAACGTTCATTTGTCAACTTTAAAGAATGATCATCTGCTGATGAACATTTTTCAAACAAATCCTTTTCAGGTGTAAACACAATATACGTTCGATAGAGTAAAACTAAAATAAAACATAGGCTAACACCGCACAAAATATGAGTAGTTTTCATCTTCAATATAAAAATATTTGATATATCCAACTCAATACATCGTTGTTTTAAAATTCTATCATGAAATGAATCAGTGTTTTTTTATCATAAAAGACGTGCTAATGAACAGTGGTCAATACAGAGAATACATGCATTTTATTGTACTTTTTCTTTTACAAAACGCGTTTCTGGCTCTTTAGACAAACATTCATATACACATACACATGTGCGTAGTTACATAGCATAATCTATATATATATAGTATTATGACATGTTGGATTTTTCTTCCTTTTCTCAGTATGTGATGAGATAGTGGTAGCTTCACTTTTTTTCTATTTCTCTTGAATATTTATTATGATGATAAAGGACTCGAGTACGCATAAAGGAGAAGATTTATACAATTAGTTTCGATAACAGGTAATACTCTCTTTAAAAGAAAGGTATTTAGAGAAAATATCTGGGGAAGGTGTAACCAACCTTTAGACGGTGTAACTATTGGAGCCATCTTGGCTGTATATACGATCTTGGTGCCGGTGCAACAAAACGTTTGTTATTTTGAAAAATGAACCCGTACGATTATTTTTAAGAAAACTTTTCACGCTTAGACTGCCAGATCTGCTCTTATAAGATTTTTTACATAGCTAACTCGACATGCCCCAGACACCCTTATGTGGTCAAAAAAGAAGTTTATTGACAAGTAAAGTTCATCTTCGATTCACTGATCCTTGACCGAAAGATCATGGTGCTGACGAACCCAAGAAGTAGGGTGCGTGAAATTTACAACTTCCGCGTGTCCATTTTTTTGGGTATGGTTGGATAGAGTTCATCGAGCTATCTATTAAAACTTGAATTTTATATGTTCAGAAGTCATTTTCGTGTGAAAAGTATTGATTTTTTGAAAATAGTCCAAAATGCGCAAAGTTGTCGTATTTTTACTTTTGAAAGTACAAGCTGCTTTTCTCTAGCTTCCCCTCAGGGAGTATGAAAGGCTAACTCTGGCATCTTTAGAAACAAATATGCTTTAAAATTTGTAGAAAACGAGCCAGCCCCAGAAACGGTACACGTAGAGAAGAAGAGTTAAAACTAATCATTCTGATCAACGTCACTCATAAAATCATCTGCATCAGTTTTTCCATTTCTTCCTTCCGCATCGCAGAAAGACTTAGTCTGATACAATCAGTTTTTAAAACAAATAATAAAGAAGCCTATATCTCGGAAAAGCAGAATAAAGCCCATTGAAAACAAAACTACTATCAAAAACAACCAACCAGAACCGAAATGCCGCAATCTCACCAAAACTCATATGCACAAGAAATGCGCCAAATATACAACGAATCAATAGTACATGTTTCTCAAACTCCTAGAAAAAACAACGGGACCAACTGTAGTTCGTCCTGCTGCGACCCACACCCTCATCAAAAATACCATATGCCATTACCAAAAACAAAACTAGGAAAAACACACGTACGGCTCACGCCAGGTGCCACAAGCACGCAGCCATCTCAATTACGTGTTTTTGCTCCTCGAATATGAGTATGTCGCTAATTTAGTTTAAAGCACGTGTCAGACTCTAATGCTAATAGAACGTCAATTTCTTATAATGGCATGACTTTCTAACCGACACCTCACGCTCGGAAATATGGAGGTTTGTTCTTCTAGTAACCAATGTTACCTTACTTGTATATCTCTTGCGGGTAAAATTAGAATTCAGTCAATTTTCGAAATCGTACCGACACAGTGGAATTCTAATCTCCCTCAGAGAAAAACATTCAAATCTGGGTTTTGACCACAGTTCCATTGGACAAAATTGGAATTACACTTCTGTCCCGACGAAAAAAAACTTCCGGGTTGAAAAAAAATGAAGCTACGGACAAAATTAGCACTTTTCTGTAAAACCGCGATTTCGTGCTCTGCGCTAAAATCATGTTCTTAAATTTAACTTCGAAAGATCTAACCATCTATAGAAAACCTTCATAGGGCAAATACAATGACGACGAGAGCTCGCAACTGCAAAAACATATTTGACAACGCGGTAAAACAAAAACTATCATACAACCAAATCCTTGTCTTCCTCAATACTTCTTTCAACAAGTTTTCAAGTTTCATGCTCAAAATCACTACGAAAACAAAACGACACTGTGTGAAATAAGAGTTGAACGTCATATATTTTGTTCCATTGAAATCGTAAGGTTCATTTATCAGAGTACTACTATTCATAATCTATTTCACATGTTTGTTTGAAAGGAGAGGCGCGTACGCATCTCCTGCGGAATAAATTTTCCAGCCGAGTAAGCCTCAATTTGAGAGCCTATCGCAAGTTTCAGATCCACCGATGTGCAATGGCAGGACCCTCGACCTGGGGGAAGAACATTGATGGTCGTCCTTCACTCCTCTGGCAGGTAAGTATGCTTGCTTCATCGACGACTCCACCTTCTTATACGCCACACAGCTACACAAATTGTGTGGTAAGCATGATGACTCATCGTCTTCTCGTCGACCAACGATGGTATAACGTACGTCTTTCCTTTACACGAACATTCTTGTGATGGTAAACAATATGTGTCGCTATTTCCCTATCGTCGTGTTTAGCTTTTTCGGACAAATATTGGAAGAACAGAATTTCTCTTCTTTCACACAGTGTCATTTTATTCAAACGCTGAAAACTCAATTTTTCAACAAGTTTTCAAGTTTCATGCCTAACTTTGAAATTCTCAAATTCGCATATTTTGTATAAGTGTGCGTATCGCACAGGGTATAAGGATAACTTTGAAATTCTGAAATTCTCAAATTTTGAAACTCTGACATTTTATGTAAGTGTGAGTATCGCACACAGTATAAGGATAGTTTTGAAATTCTGAAATTCTGAAGTTTCTCGTGCATTTGATAGTTATACTGTATAATGATAATTTGACAGCTCTGAGCTAGATTCATTTAGCAATACAAAAGGTATAAGAATTTTGCATATTTTATAGCGATTGTACATTGGCAGCGCAGTTTACTCATATAGGTAACTTATATATAGAACTTATATAGAAAAAGTGAAAATAAAACCAATAACTAGTAGCAAATAAATAATAAAAAATAACTAGTAGCAGAAAAAAGAACAACAATATTCCCATTGAAAAAGAACAACTCGCAATAATAAATTGATGAACATGAATACTGCTTGAATTATGAATAAAAAGAGAAAGGTAAGCCGAGACCAAATGACTAATTAAAAACACAAAAACTTTACTCTATTTTCACTGCATTGTACGATTCTGTGGGTCAACGGGCGAAGAGAATCGACGTGTTTTTCGGAGCTCTACAAAGAAAACCTTACAGAAAATTTGAGCCATTGTTTTTTTGGCATGTATCGTACTCCTACGTTTATCGATGCATAAAGAAGCTAAGATAGAGTATATTTTGAACTTCTGGTGTCTTAAACCGATGTTGAGTGCGGTACAAATTTCTCAATTTTGCAAGAAAATAGCCTACAACGGGTTATTTCCATGAAAGCAGATTTTTACTAGATTCTTAATATTCAAAGTAAAAACAAACATTGTTATGAGACTCACTGGGATTGATAAATCTCTGGTTCAGCTACGTTTGTGGATATCACTGTCAAATGACAAAAGGCAACATTTGGGGCTATCTAGGTAGGTTAAAAAAAAGAATATATTACTACCCGTACCTCTGGAGATTCTAGAAAACCCATTAACCAAACATGCTGTTTCGATTTTTTCGATCTTATGATCATATTTAGCGGACAAAATTAATCGTATCCTGAAGTTTTGAATTTGTTGTGATTTTTTTTAAGTGAATAATGAATGTTTCAACATTAGATGAAACAGCCTGACAACTAGGCATGTACCAGATTCGGCTTTTAATCGATTAACCGAAACCGATCATAACCGAAAGTGTTGCACAAGTTTTTGTGACACCACAATATGAAAGAAGCATCTGTTGTTCATTCAACAACTGTTCATTCCGGAAGAAAGATGCACGGTATACAAAATCAGAAATAAGCCAAATAAGTGGTATTTCCGACTTTTCACCAGCATCTTTATGCAAATCGATCTTCACGACGAAGAGCAATAAATATCAATTTTCATCATGAAGATCGATTTGTATAAAGATGCACCTAAGAAACAAAATCTAGGATATTAAATTTGCTAAACTTTTGTTGCTAAACTCAATACTGGGAAACTCTTCCTTCATGGTGAAAAGTCGGAAATACCACTTATTTGGCTTATTTCTGATTTTGTACATCATGCATCTTTTTTCCGGAATGAAATTCCGGCTTACTAAAATTAATGTTTATCTTCTTTTTAAAACTACTCAACCGTTAATAGTAGTCTGCACTCCATTCGATAGAGGATTGTTTAGCTTACAAAGGCCATATACAATAACACTGAAAAAAAAGTTCTAGCAACAATTTGTTTCTGACTCTTCTTCTCGTTCATAATAGGTCGTTAAGTCTAGATCTGAGATACATAAAGTCATTAAGGAAGAAGAAACAAATTTGAATAATCATGATCAAACAGAAGATGAAATCATATTAAATGCTCTATTATCTTTACCAGATTTGAAGACGAGAGCCGCTAATTTACAAACGTTGGCGCACGTACGTCACAGCCATAGATCATACCATATCAGTTTTCATTTATGATTTTCCTTCACTGTTTAGAGTTTGTTTGCTGTGAAATCCCCAAAATCTCAAGCTAATTATCGTCGGAATAGAAAACGTTTTATTTCTGTTGGTGCTATTGTCATCGGTTTAGTCATTGTTATCGCTAGAGGACTATACATAATATACGTCTAGATAGGAAACTTTCACTTATTCTTATCTTCTTAATAAAATTCAAAATACTGTAATTTCATGAAGTGTTCTGCGCTAATAGAAGACATTTAACTGTGCCACAGGAAAAATTTATGCTTTTTAACGGAGTTATGAATTAGGCAAGGCTCTGGACCGGGAAAATAGAAAAATTCTTAACTTTTGAAAGAAGAACCAACCATACATCCAAATCCTTTTGGGGTTTCCACTAGAACACTATATAGTATCCATCGGCAAAAGGTTGTTGAAATCGGAGTTGGCCAGTTGGCGACGGTCCCCTGTATGTGAGACTTGGCCTGCTAACTTCTGATTACCAGTTGTTGAAAAATCGCTCGACATAAAAGATTAAAACCAACATGCCGCAACATCGTCTAGCTGTAATATTCAAAAGAACCTCTAATCTTCTCGCTAACCCAATCCTTTAGAACGTAGTTGTCGTACGACCCGTATAATCATTATTATAGTGTTGGTCACTCCTCGAAAAATACCAGTCAAAGACAGAATGCATATGCCATCATCATCCTTTAATACGGACATATTCCCTTAAACTCTTCAGTTATTCTCAT